CGAAATTGGCTTGGCTTTTTGTAGATAGTGTGCTTTGTTTGGGTTTGTAGTCTTCCTTCTGATAAGTTTTACGTCCATATGCCCCTTTTCTGTTGAGTGAATGCGCTATCGATTCAATTCTGTAGCTTTTAGTGAATGCTTGTCTGTTCTTCTAGTTATTTTGAACGTCTTATGTATTCAAGAGAATTGCTTCTCTGGAAAGTCTCCTTTATATTTTCACGTAAAACAGTTACTTCAATGACAAAATTATAGCAAAGATTGATCAAAATCATCGAAAACTCTACTCATCGCGGTTGTTCTCGCAACCGAATCAGCCCGTCTTATCCCCCTAGAAATGTCGACCAACGTCAAAAACGTTCTTCTCCCGGTTCCGCCGCTTATCAACTGAGTCGGTGGTGTGAGATATCTGAGGTCTCCTCATGCTTCGTTATCATGCCGCCCTTTCTCTCAACACTCTATCTCAGCATTTTATTCTGTTGAATGTCGCCTGATGATGGCAAAGCTTGAACATTCTTCTAGGAACGACAGTGGCTGTGTGGCTCATAGCAATATGAGTGGACCGGAACGAAGGACCATCCACATGAGCCACTATCAGGGTGGCTCCCTGAAGGTGAATTTCAAGCTTTTTAAAGGTTTTTTGTTTGATTAAACCATTCTAAATTTGCTGTTATTCTCTATATGTTTGTAACTGAACTTCCTAATTCCAGGATAAACTCGACCAGGGTGACATGGTGTTCAAAACAGTTGAAGATTTTGTTAACACATATGTAGAAGATCCCAGCAAACGCCGACCCATCAAAAAGGTTTGAATAGAGTTGATGGATTTAAATATTCTCGTTAAACTCGCAAAGTTCAAACACTGCTTTTGTTAGATGTTGGTTGCCACAAATGGTATTGCTGCTGTTCGATGCATCCTTTCGATTCGAAAGTTGCTCATGCAGCTTTTCCGCAATGATCGTATCATCAAATTCATTTGTTTGACAACAGAGCAGGAGATTCGGTCAAATGCTGGTTGGTTTCTGATTTTTTTTGACTTTTTACAAAGACTTTACCTACTTCGTATTCGCTTCGTATTGCCTTTGTTCGCTATATTTTTATACATACTTTTTGTTCATGTTACTTACTCACTTCTTTGCATTCAGTGCATCTTAACGATGCACGTTGTGATTGTCTCTTGGCATCAAAAAATCAAGCTGTAACATTGCTTTTTCTTCTTTGTGATCGTATTATAAAGTCTCATCCTTTTTACGACTCCTGGTTGTTTTCCACTGGTAGCCCAATTTAGCTCTGAAAGTTGCCCTTTCTTCTTTTGTCATAAACCCCAAAAAATCACGTTTGTGTTCTGGACCTTGCCCTGCTACAATTACATGCTTTAGTTGAAATACCAACTCGCTTTTTTCCTCCCATGTACTTTGTTCAAAATAGGCAATTGATTTTCTTTTGATGTTTCGTTGACGATTAGTGACAATAGTTCTGTGAACACTTGCATGAGCACCTTTTGTTGAACTTAATCTTCT